AAACCAATTTCGAAAAAAAATTCAAAGGGCTGTAACTTTTGAACTAGTAGCCCAATCTTGGAACTGTTTGAAATTATGGATTCTACAGGCCACATTCTATAAGAAAATTTTTTTCCGGGTCGATCTGAGACAATTTTTTTTTCGGGGCTCAAAAAAAGGCAGTGTATAACCTTCCTTTTTTACCAAAAATCGACTACACCAAAATTTCTCGGGAAAACACTTTTTCTTATTAATTTGGGTGCGTAGAATCCAAATCAATTCGTACTTTTTCGATCAGACTTCTCAATCAAAAGTTATACACTAGAAACCAATTTCGAAAGAAAATTCAAAGGGCTGTAACTTTTGAACTAGTAGCCCAATCTTGGAACTGTTTGAAATTATGGATTCTACAGGCCACATTCTATAAGAAAATTTTTTTTCCGGGTCGATCTGAGACAATTTTTTTTTCGGGGCTCAAAAAAAGGCAGTGTATAACCTTTCTTTTTTACCAAAAATCGACTACACCAAAATTTCTCGGGAAAACACTTTTTCTTATTAATTTGGGTGCGTAGAATCCAAATCAATTCGTACTTTTTCGATCAGACGTCTCAATCAAAAGTTATAGACTAGAAACCCTGGTTTCCAATAATATGAAAGGTGCTTTATATTGTTTATATTTATATTAATTTATATTGTCAATTACTGTGATTCAAGCACTTTTAATGGCTTCAAGCACTTTCCAAGGGCTTGGTGCTTTGTATTTTCAATTACTTTAGAAAGTGCCTGGTAATTCCAAGCTCTAAGGCTTGCAAGCACTTTTATCAAAACAAAGTGCTCGGTGCTTAGTGCTTCAAGCCCTTTACAACAGGGCTTTACCCAGCTCTGTGACATACGAGTTAAATTTTCTTTTATAAGAAGCATCTTCTGTAAAAATTTCAAAAAAATTGGTCTACAAATAAGAATTGAATTTGCGAATGCGCAATCTATTTTTTGCGGGGTGTTAATTAATGTCATACAGACATTTCAGGCGGTGATAGTACTCATCAAAATAAGACAATATATGCATGGCGTAAAGGGCGTTGTTTTCATTATATATTGTAGAGATTCTAAAAAATAATATTGATGTATCAAATTTGAAACAATTATCACAACATATAGACAAGGCAAAAAAAAACTTTTGCCACGCTGTGTAACGAAAACGACGCTCTTTAAATCATTTTTTTTTTCAAATAGCAACCTAAAATTTTTATTCTATTATTTGGAAGATGTTTTGTTTACTTACAACTATTGTATTACGTCAGAAATAAGTCTTAATTTTGTTAAATAAGAATTATTTGACAGAGTTTTTTCTCCATTAATTTCTAATTTCAGACCATTCATAAAGTAAGAAAGATAAAAAATAAGCTTTTGTATTATATGAACAAAGTTGATATTTAAAAAAAAATTAAGATGGCGGTTGCACTCAAAAACCATGTGCAAAAAAATGTTTAACCTCAAAATATGTGGCAAAATTTCAAATGGAATCGTTCTAATTTTCATGTTTATATCTCAAACGGTTCGAGCCCGTTTAATAGCGATCGTATATAAAGGTGTTTAGATGATTGATACTATTTCTTCTTGAATTTGGTGTTTTATTGTGCTTTCTGATTCTACATAGTAGTAGCTTCAATTAGCTAGACGAAGGTGAACCAACCGATTCTCAATTCATCGGCCCAAAGTATGGCATACAGTCCATCTACTCTTACTATAATTTCCAGTGAGTAAAATGGCCTCGTCTACTATCATTTCTTTTTGCAATCTAGTGTTATATGCCCATAGTTCTACAAACCTAATAGTTTCTCATTCGCTACTTATTTACCTATCTTCTTCGTCACAGTATTGTAACCTACAAGTACAATTCTATATCAATGTTAGTACCTAATACTTTCTTTTAATGTAGTCTTGAATCCATCTTTTCTTGGGATGAAATTGGGAAATTGGGGTTAAAGTCTTTGTCAAAATTACAGTAAAATCTTTCCATTTTCAAATTGTATGAAAAGTAATGCTTCCATGCTACAATATAATACACTGCCGCTAAAGTGCCGCGCCCGTGATTAACTGGGACTAAATTTTGTGCTCTTTTTATTTTTATTTATTTTTCATTTCACTAAGACCACACATGTATGTTTGGAAATGGGGAGAAGTGCAGTTCGAAAACATTAAAATTTATTTTACGTCGAAAGGAAACTAATCATTCAAAAGTTATTTAAATTTATAGAAGTATTGTAATTTGCACCATAGGAAAAACACATTGAAAAGTCGCATTCTCATTGAATTATCATTACGTGATACGTTCGTTAGGGTAATAATATAATAAATCTAAAATAGTGTAACTATTTTGAGTACATTTTGGAAACTCATTTCTGGAGTGTGATTCTAAATTAATTCAACTTTTACTAAACTCCATCTAGAACAGTATTACAAGGTCAGAAACGGTTTACGCACCATAGGGATTTCAATGCTAATATATTTATTTATATCTAAATATTTTTCTCCCCTAATTAGTTTAGAGCACAGTTGTAGATAAATTTAGTATTATCACAGATTTATATTTAAATCTGTGGTATTATTATTCTGCGTCTGCTCATGTCTTCATTTATTATTTTTCAATTCGGGAAACCGGAAAAAAATCAATATGTTATAATTTAGCATTTTGGGAAAAATCTAATTTTTGTTTCAATAATTTCACGGCACGAGTGATTTTTACTAAAATGCTGATTTACAATTTCCTTAATTTCTTCGATTTCCTACAACAAAAAACTACAAATGGGCACATTAATTGATGCAGAACAGAACAATCAACAAGAAATTTATTTACAACTTAGCTGTAATAAATTGATTACATAAAATGATTGAAATACCTATGGTTCTACATCCTGTATAACGATGATGTGTGTAAATTGAAAGTCCATTTGGGGCCAATTTCCGTGATCAGATTCTTGAGAGGGCATCTGGAACTGCACCGTATGCAACTAGAAGTACCAACAAAAATGACTTTTACAAAGTGAGATGTCCTGAGAAGATGATATCTAGTTTCCTGAACTAGATCCAAATGAATCTTTTAATGACATCCGATTTTTAAGTGTAATGCTCTACATACTGCTCTCGTCGCGTTTACAGCAAAATGGCAAGTGTTTTCATCCACTCAACAGACTGCTTGATTTTCTTTGGCTCATAATCATATCACACGGTAATTAAACAATATTACGTAGTGTTAGTTTAGGTACAGCATAAACGCTAAAGGTTACTATCCTAGTTTAACACATAACGGCCAATTAATATCCATAATTAAATAAGTACCCACTGCTGATGGCCACGAATGTACGCAATTTTTGGTCGAGTGCTGGGACGACGACGTGTCAGTTTATTGAAGTGCGCTAAACAAACGGCGTTCTTACAATAAACGGCATAAAACCGTAAATTGGGTTATTAGCTTTTATTGTTGATAGTAAATTAGGAGGAAGTTAATTGTAGTGATTTTTAAATTGTAGGTAGGTACCACCCCGTGGTAGGCGCTTTAAATATCTGTGTTAGATAACGTTCCAAAAGCGGGGAAACTTATAAAAATACGAGTTTATTGTCCCATCTATAAATAAGTTTTCAATTAACTAATTTTGTGCAATTGAATTCTCTGTGCCTTGGCTCCGTGCGACTTGATGAATTACTGCGAAAATGCAACGTAATTTGATATACATCATAAAAGTTAGACATTTTATCATTTGTAGGTAATTGAGGGGTTGTTTGCGTGTATACCTGCTAATGGCGGATAATTAGAACCGTTTAAAGTAACAATACCCGATGTTACCAATTACGTTGGCCAATTTCGGAAATTAAAGTTTACTTCCTATTTTATGGCGAATATGTCACTTTAACTATTTTGCGTGACACTCGCATAGTCCGCAGTACAGCCATTCCATTTTTTCCTATACAGGAAATTAAAAATATTAAGGTTTGTCGGTCTACAAATTTTACATAAAAAGAAACGCACGTTTAGCTAGTTATTTTGATTTATGCGCCAATCGTTTCCGATTTGTTGTCTTTCTTTTTGTTGGTAGAATTTCTACTGCAAAACTGACTTGTAGGGGGTGGTTTTTTCCATTTAATCTACCATTGACTGTTAATGTCCTGTTCGCGAGTTAGAAATCACGTACAGTGTGCAAATGTCATATACCTATTGGGGATAATGCATGAAAATAAACTATTGAAGTACTAAATATAGACGATCTAAAACGTATTGCCACGCAAAAGAAAAGTGTCACTTTCGTGGTTGGAAAAGACATTTTGGAAACTAGTTTCGGGCACCAAAATAATTCTAATTAAAGGTCTTCATTTAGCAATTTTGTATTGAGGGTGTAATTATGTTTTGGGGTTAATCGATAATTTTATAACGATAGATTGGTGCGGACATTTTAATCTATTCCTTAATGATTTATGAAATTCGTCTATTATCAAAAGCACGCACATGAAGGTGGTATTGCATACATCAATACCGGCAATTAAATATTCTGACAGGATAGCGTTTATTCCCTTTTAAAAGTAAACCTAATGCACGCAAGGTATCTCAATTCACGGCAACCAACTGCCAGTCTTCAGTGTTGAACTGGTTGCGTGCATGGAAATAAGCCAGGCGCTTAAGATACTAAAAAATGTGATGGTGTTGGTGGTTTTCCGCTGGAAGAAGTGATTTACATTATAAAGATTCGTACCGCACGCGTTTTCTTACAAGGGCCGAAAGTTGTACACGTGTGAAATGAAATCAAATTAGGTCTGTTGTGCCTTTTATTAAATTTCAGCAAGTTGCACAGAAACTGTTATTCGGCAACTGACAGTTTTTCGTAGAACATCAGCAACAAAATATTATTCAAATTATCTTTTAATATCTTTAGATTTTATATCACCTTCGCTGTAAAAAAAAGTTATAAAACAAAGAGTCGATTTAAGAAAAAGTCATTAATGTTTTGCAAATTACATTTTAAGAGCGGTTTAGGATGCAGACATCATAAATCATCTAAAAACATTAAAATTTTTGGTAATTCTGTCTAGACTAAACTTGTTTTCAATTTTTCAATGTCTCTGTGAATAAAAACCTGTATCACTTCTGAAGATGTTTTATTTTCTGGTAGGCAGCTTTCTTAATTTTAATTCGTTTTAGGTGAAAAAATGAACTGTTGCGCTATAAAGTTGGCAAATAGAACGGAGGAACGTGCAATTTCCCATAAGGACGAACACCGCTGCCTTCTGCTTTTATTGGAAAACGACGATAATCACAGGTACGTGCTTAACTTTAAGATAAATGACATTCTCTTTCACTCATCTTGACGGGACTCTATCAATATCGTTTGACAAAATACCTTTTTTTGATTATTTATTTACGTCCTTTAAATGGGATTAGTAAGTGAGTGTTTAAAAATTGAATCCGAAAGAAAACCGTTTAATTTCGCACTTTCCGTCCTTTGTTGCCTACATCATTTCTGCACGTTACTGTTTAATAAAATGTAATCGTAATATCACTTTGTAACCAGGGGCAGTGACAAATTATCGAAGGAGCTCATTTGATTACGAATAGTTTTTCAGATCATAGTGGGGCGGATTTCCTTCGAATTCGTCTAATGTCCTAAAGCTACAACCTTAAAACGCTAACATGAAAACGAGTATCACTTCTTATGTCACTCAAATAGTAAGAATTTTCGAATTCTTATGTGCCATAAGAAAATGTAGTAACACAAGCATTTCAGATGGTGATTGTGTCTGCTTCTCTGAGTGAAGATGGATGAAGCATCCCTCGAAGCATGTCTTTTTCAAAATTTTAACACCGCTAATTCCGGCGACTCCCTGTTTTATTTAATTATTCAATCCTTCCAATGAAATGCTTCGCTTCTTTAACGTGTATACTTGTTAAGTTGATGAAAGAAAAAGACTTATGGGGATGTGCTTAATAATAAGGGGAAATTTTAAACATTTTGGGTTTATAACCCCCTAAAAAACTCCCCAGTGTATGAAAGTTTTGAAGCATTTAAAATATCGATTTAATGATCCTTTACTGATCCAGAAATGTTCAGATTTTTTTCTTCCCTCGTTTGAAACTTGTAGTTCCGCCCTAGAACTTTTGGGAAATCCTATATATGTGCATTAATAATTATTTACATAAAAATCGGGAAAATAACACATTACTGGCTTTAATTTCCGAGGAGTCATTACAGACATTTACCAACATGATGCGTGCGGCCGGAAAAGTGACAGGTACGGCTGGTAATGTGACAGGCGGCAGGAAAAACAGACTGGTCTGTCTCTGTCATGGAAACTAAACTTTCCTGACATAAAGTAGGCATGAAAATGAAGGTTTCATCTTTCATGACGATTTTGGGTAATGTATGACCGGTACAGGATAATAACCCCCAACCAAAATTCCCTCGGACAAAAACACCTCTTTATTAATCCCCGTGGGGCAATAACCCCCCGACAAAAATCCGGGAGACAATAACCCCCCGGAAAAAAAACCCTCTATGCCATTTTCTACAGCTTGATGAGTTACACTCCCATGTGGATTCTTTTCTAAAGCAAAAATTCGTAAGCGATTCCAAGGGACTGTGACACCCAGCAGTGTGGGGTATTAGGTTATTTGAAGGTTTAGGTTACTTTTCTTAATTTTACCCAAAATCATCCTGAAACCTTCATTTTCGTGCCTACTTTCTGCCAGGAAATTTGAGTTTCCATGACAGAGGCAGAGCCAGGCAGAGCAGACTACGTTTCCTGTCGCTTGTCACTTTACCGGCCGCACCGTCACTTTACCGGCCGCATTTGTGACATTTGTAATGTCTATAATGATTCCTGTCGTCACTGACAGATTCACATTAATCAAAAGTTTTATATACAAATTGAAATGTTATATTAAAATACGATTTCGGGTAAAATTTCATACAAAACTCGTCAATAAAATGACACATTACTTGCCTCGAAAATTAAAGTACTCGGCCCCAAAGGGCCTCGCACTTCAATATTTCCTCGCCAGTAATGTGTCATTTTCCTGGTGTTGTCTGTTTGTTCGTCTGTTCCTCGTCTAACTCGCGAACGAAGAGAGACAGCGATGTAAAACCTTCGTCAATCGATCTCTACGAGTGTAAGAATCAGTACTTTTCAATATGAGCGGGATCGCGTTTCTGAATGCGAGCTGATTTAAAGATTCGTGCGATGCACAAAAAATTCCCCCTACTGAAAATCGTATGCGATTCTTCAAATCTTCTTTTATACTAAGGTAATTTACGAAGGAGCACAATTTTAATACTTGCTCTAGACGCCACTTGGGCATGCTATGCCACTGGTCCCTCTACGTGATCCGTCCCTCGTTTACATGAAAGAGCTTTTTAAGGAAAAAATCCAAAACACCAAATTCATGTGTTAATTGCGGCTGAAATCTAATGGAACATACAATTTTTGTAAATCTCGTGCGTGGTAACGAATTGGCTCAAAATAGGTATATTAGAGAGAAAAAACACGGATTTTGGAATAATTTTCCGTTTTGTTCCGTTTTATTTATTTATTCGAACAAAATTAGGTAACCACATACGGCCTTAGATTTCCTCCAAACCCTTCTTGGGTCATTTCGAGCAATACATTCGTTAGTTTAAACCTTCTTTGAGCATTGACTAATTTTCAGACTCTGACACTTTCTCAGAACTTATCGACGAACTTTAAAAAATTGAAACCGGTTATGTAAATAATGAAAACCCCAATTTATGGATCATTGACTCCTATCACACAGTAAGAATTAGTTTTTCCATAAAAATTATCCTTCTTCGATATAAAACTCGACTGGTTTTTGGATTTTTGTCAAAACATTTATTTTGCCGAGTTTTTTTGTAAATCGGGAAATTGTAGAACATGATTAGGACTTTAATCAATTAAGAATTTCTACACAGAGGGTAGCATCTAAGACCCCTCGAATCATAACCCCTTTACCATAAAAGATAGGAGCAAAATTACCGTCGCCATGTTTCTATAATATTTGTGGTCACCAGTGGCATGTTGTATTAGGATTGGAAAGTACTCGAAAAGTTTGTATTTTTTAATATAACATACTGGTATAATTTTCACAAAATCAAAATTCCCGTTTTGACGAAAAAAATTTTAGTTTGTTAACCTTGACATTTTCTTTCTCCATTTTCTTGTAATAAAACATGCCATAATTTTGAATTTTGAAAAAAAAAGAAAAATTTTGAGAAAGAAAGGTTATAACAGCGAAATCGTTAAGGCTCCTCTGTAGTCAATTTGCATTTCAATGTTATTGCAATTGGTTAGACCACCAACAATACACATTTCTACGTATATTCGTGGAGTGCGAAAACGGTATATTTCTATCCTTTTCAGTTTTGCATGTTTTCTTCATTTATTGTTAAACACAATAGACCAGGTATAATGATCAAGGACTAATTATGTAAACAAGTTTATTGAAAAGGTGTAGTCAATATTTGAATAAAGCTACACAAATACCTGTTCCTTTTACTCCATTTGTCTATAATGAGATCTTCTGTAAATTACTTGATTCTAAGGTAATTAGTGGAGAAAATTCGCAATGTTTGCTAACATTTCCCAATAGATTGTTAGTTAATTACACCTTATTATTATTTCCTGTTATTTGTTTTAATCAATTTTACTGATCAACTTTGATTTAGACATTTTTATAATTAATAGGTTATTATTTACTTATTTAAAAAAAGTTCTTATCTTTTCAAAAAATAATTGTACAGTTAGCGTATTCGTTTTATTTATGCACGGCCCATGAAGGTTTTTTACGAACAGACAAAACTGCTGGTAAAAATGTAACTAACACAATAACACATGTCTATACATATTGTCATTGCAACCTATCTTCCATTTTTATGGGTAGAACCATATTCGGCACCAAAAAGCATGAGATATCACATGGACATCAAGCAATCGAATTTACACCTTTTGGTCTGTAAGTATCGATATTGGCATCGTTTGTGCGGTATCATAATTCGGTTTTTTAAATCCTTAATTCAGTAGTGAAAATTGAAATTGGGCATTCCTCTATTTCTTTGACGACCAAGTATTCATCCTTGTTGATATCAGATCATATTGAAACAATTATAAATTGTGCACAACTCTTGTGCAGATAAAGTGCATTTTTTAAACCGAAATAGCTTAGTAAATAGTTGGGTTATAAGGCTCTTCTGTTGTCAAGATATTCGCTTCGACTTCATCAATAGATGTCTCGTCCAGACGATTCATTCTGCCTCTCCTCCGACAAACTGTATTCGCTCTTATCATGTTGATCTTACCAATGGATATATTTGTTCCACACGTCCCAATCGCCCTTTGTGAGTACCTCCTCCGGCAATTCGCTATAGAGATAAAAATTATAACCGATCATGATGAAGCGTCGAAGAGGTAAAAATGGATTCCTTTTGTTGAGACCTTTCATTAGAGTATGGATAAAACTAGTCCCTCTCTTCCCCGAACTCCCTATTTTGATAAGGGTAAAAAAGAGGGGGGCCTTAAAACATCTAAAAGTGATGGCCGTCTGGCGGCCCTCCAAGGTATAGGCTACTTATTGCAAAAAATTCAAAGTTTAGCTATTTTTCCAATATGGCGGATTGACTACAGAGGAGCCTTAATGGTATAATATGTTACAATGTACTCTTGAAGTACCAATTCTTCAATAAAATACGTGGCGTTCCATTTAAAAAAACGTAAGTTTAATTACGCCACTGGTGACCAGAAATATTTTAAAAAGATGGCGACGGTCGTTGTGCACAATTTTGCTCCAAGAATGTCATTTAAAACATGAAGTTCAAAGAAACTTCTATACAAACGTGGAAACTACAAGAAAACGATATTATTTATCTCTTTATGGTATAGGAATTATGGACCGGAGCAGAATTAGAAAGTGTGAGAACGTAAAAAGTTGATTAGCATTTACAAAAATTAAATTTTGGAATTGTAATGTATGCTTGTTAAGGAATTCAATTGACAGCATACAAAAATTTAATAGCTTTGAGTTGTGGGTTTTGTTTTTAATAAGAAAGGAAAGTCTTTCGACTGAAAACTTGTTTATCTGTCTGCTTATAAGTCTGTACGGTCCTATACAAAAACCGGGAAATTTTTCTATTGTGATTTTGCCAGTTGATTTCTTATTTGGTATGAGTGTACATAAGAAAAATTCAAAAGACCTTTCAGAATTCAGTTTTTGCTTCTTTTACATTTGTTATATTATGTAGTGTACACAGCTCTCCATTTAGTTGTAGCGTGATAAATCAGAAGAAACCGGCGAAGAAAAAATCACATAGTGTCTGAAATATTTGCTTTCTCTAAACCTCGTAAAGGTCCTACTGCTATTTTTTCCCTTGCTACTTCTTTATACGACGAAATTCTGTGCAACCCTTCAGGAAACCGATTTTCGACCACTCTTAAGATAATGCGTAATGGAATTTTCCATTGAAGTCGTAAGGTTGCTAGGATGTTCCCGAAATAGGCATACGAACTGATTCAAAAGTAGTGAATGATAATAGGGACCCATCAGGTTAAATTTCGCCACTAATTACCATGATAATCTAGCGAATAGAGGGCTGTTACCTTACACACGGTCCGGTAGTTCTACATTTTTTATAGGTTGTATAGGATAGTTATTAAATGTTTAAAATGCAATATGCATAATTCCTTCTCCTCCGCACCTGTCGCCATATTGAAAAAACCCAAAAAAATTTTAGCTAGAAAAGAGTTCGAGACAATATTTTAGAGAATTAGATTTCGTATAATAATTTACGTTATTAAATTTTGTTACTAGGACTAACTTACTTAAAGAAAAATTAAAAAAAATGGCACGGAGTGGGGAGGGGGGGGGGATTTCTGAGATTACTCCAAAGACTTCCATCAAGTACTGTTCCCTTTCGAGATTGTTTTTGATTAAAGCCTTTTTAATTTATTCTGAAAAACGGGGCTCGGAAAATTGTAGATTATATATTCCAGAATATTTCCCTTCAGCAAAGTAACAGGGTAAACTGATTTCACCTGGGTATTCGTCCGCGAAATATTCACTGCCGGAATATTACCCATTATTGAAAAATTCGTCCATGGTCCAAAACAACACTCTCTCTAGAAATATGCTCCTATTTAATATCATTCGAAGTACCTACATTCAATTTTGCTGAATGATTAATGGCCGTTTGCACCGACAAATTTCAGCGGCGCTTAGCTTAAGCGTAGCTTAAAATCCATGGCAACCATTGTCTCAATAATCGTTGCCATGGATTTTAAGCTACACTTAAGCTAAGCTCCACTTAAATTTGTCGGTGCAAAGTGCAAACGGCCATTAGTACACCACAACATTACTCCGATGAATTCTTATCCGAAAGTCCATATTCGAGAAACTCTCCTTCATAAAGGCTTACTTCCAGTTATGTAGACATGTAGCATTTTACCTCAAAACCTTCGCTTGTCTACACAATGTCGTATAATGTTCATTGAGAGTGAGTTTTCCTGAGGACCAAATTTCACTGGGACTGGTTTTCTTAGTGCGGATATTGGCAAGCGCCTTCCGTAAGTGATATTCCCAGACGTTCATTGGGAGCTAGCATTTCATTGGGGCGAATTTTTCAGGAGCGAATATTCTTGGACGAGAGTGGATATTCGGGGAGGAATATACTGCGGGCAAATTTTCTGTGGAACAAATCTCTCTGACAAGTTTTTCCTGAGGAGAGTCATTGGGACAGAATTTACTGGGATGAATCTATGCGGTATACAAACGGAAACAAGTTACTGCCATTATGTTTCAGAGCAATTAATGAATAGTAACAAAAAGGCTTCACACATTCAAAGATGCCCTCACAATAAATTTCTTTATAACGAAAACGGTCTCAAATTTGATACAGTTAAACGTTATTACCTGCAAATTACAAACCCACCCCAAGGTATACGTATATGTCACTGAAACTTTTTATTTGTAACAAAGGATCACGAAATTGCATTTAATAATAACTTTTTTAAAATATTAAACTTCACCGTACAATTTAACCTGATGGTTGTGGTCTACTTTTTTCGGGAACAGTTGGCACGGTTAATCCTCTAATTATCGCTAACCCGAAAGGAAAAGTATTAAATTTTTTTTTTTCAGGCCATCTTCATCTAATGAAGACCTCTGCGATCAACAATCCGAACAACCTTGCTTATCAGTATTAAACATAATGTTACCGAAAAATGTTAAATCTTTCAACACCGGTAGTTCGACACAGCGATGGGCAAACAAGCGACCAAGACTCAAATCCGCGAAACTGATACAAGAGAAAGAGCCCAAGCTGGTCGATATGGAGTCTATTAACGTCCCAATTTTAATTGAAGAACTCGATAATGATATTAAAGAAGAAGTTCCCGAAGAAATCGACCCGGATATACAAAAGCTCCTGGAGGAAACTCACGTTCAGGACGGTCACGAATGTAGAATGAGCTGCGACGATACCAGCGAAAGGGCGCACAAGTTAAAACGGAAACATCGAAAAAAGTCGAAAAAGGATAAAGAGAAAAAGAGTAAACATAAAGTAAAAAAAACCGTGTCGTTCTCACTTTCCAAACCACCAACTCCACAAACAGAGCAAATAATTAGAGTCGACGTCGTTTCAAATTATTCCGTCGAATTCGAAACTTGCGAAAGTAATCGTTCAGATTGCGTTCCATCTACGCCCGAAAAACTGTCCGACGAAAAACATTATCACGATACAAGCGCGCAATTTATGTACCAGTTATATTGTGCCCAAAAATTAAACGAGACGAAAAATTTCTATCTCGAAAGTAAAAAGGCTGTTCTTTTTCCGAGACTTAATGAGAAATGAGTATACGAAAATTTAATTGTTACATTTGTATGCTTGCTAGAGTTTATTGCGTTAAAAAGAAGTTTGTTGCAAAAAATTGTGGTTTTATTTAAATCTGTTCGTTTCATGTGTACTACATATTACCGACGACGGCGCGGCATGTTTGATGAATTGTTATAAATATCCGTGAGTCATGGCGTAATTTTACAATAGTTAGGCTTGGGAACGGCCTTGAATTTGGTCAAATCTTTGAGAATGTGAAACGGAAATCAAATCGTTTTCGCTTATATCTGCTAGCCGGAAATACCGCACACGTCCATTTATCCATCCATCCGAAAAAAAAACTAATCCACCATACGGCAGGTGCGTAAGGTCACCAGTAACTAGTTAATAGTGGTTGATTATGGTTTTTTCGCAATTTTTTATTGAACTTTTTTAACTGGCGTAGTAGATCACTGGAGAAACAGCTGCTGGTTACGTTTTAAATTACTATTATAGAGATCATTTTGAATGAAAATTGTATTTTTAGGTCAATCGTCGCACGCAACTTTTTTCGAAGAAAACATAACAATAGAATATGTTGCATAAAGCAAACTGACAATTATCCTCGAAGCGCGAGGGCGAGGTGTTTTTTTTTATCCGGCGTCAACCAAATTTCCCATACTTCCAATAGATTGGGCGAATGAAATGGTTGGCCAAATTTAAAGTGACTGATTATCTCCTTCTTAGAAGAAGGTATGCAAGTATTAAATTTTTCTGTCATCTTTAATTCCAGATTGAAGGACCACCGAAATTGTTCCCTGATTAATACGGCCAATAGCAATTTTTTTGACGTATCTACTTTTTATGATTGCTGATGTGTTGAATTCGTTTAACCAAAGAAATGCGAAAGACTCGTCACATTATATTTACTATCTGGTGTATTGCATTTTGAAACTAATCATATCTAACTAGAATCGGAAATTTAAGATTGAACAACACTGTTAGCTTATGTAAGGTTGTAAATCTTAAAAAAATTCCAAGTAACTTTCTTCGCTGATGGTACATAGGTACTATTCACAAACTCGATTTTGATACAAGGAAAGGACGGTTGAACCAAAAGTACATTAAGGGGATGAACCGATGAAAAATAAGATATTCTGATACTAAATTATGTACGTTACTTTTTTGAAAACTTTAAAAATACAAAAAATTGATAGGAATTTCAAGAGTAAATAAGTAAAAAATTGTGAAACACTTTCATTACAGATGATCCAGTTCTACAGATACAAACTTCTATTTGAAACTAAGGTAACGGCGTGGTAATTTTTTGTATCGTGCAAAGTTTCCGCTCTGTGTTTCGATTTATTAAATTAAATTTTTAAAATGGTAGTCCAATGTCACGCATAATCTCGATAGTGTGCAATTGAATTCTTGCATCCGCATCCTAGGCCGCATCAATCACATTTTGTGCTTATAAAATTCTAAATCTCCAACCCTGGATTTTTGCCAATTGTATGCCATTTTTTTTGCATTACCACATACATTTTAGCTAATATGGTTTGTTAGTAATTCAACCATAGGACAGAACCTAACGTGTTATTTTCAAAATTATTCTGTATTGTGGGTTTAGGGATCTCTCGTTGGAAAATAAGAGGTTTGTGGTAAAATTACTGACTACTGAAACCAGTTACCCAGTTATACCTTGTGGTGTCTTGCACGGTTCACCGCAGAATATACAGGCTGCTGAAACAACTCCGAATAATTACCGTATTGCACTACTCGGGGATTTCTTCTAACGAAGAAAAATAATATTGAAAAAAAATATGGGATTTTTACATGATTTGATTATTCTCTTTTCATCGACAGAAGGTTAGTAAAAGTACTTACTTTTTCATTTTAATCAAGCACGCTAAATTGTTTAACCAATTATTAATATTTAAGCATTCTAAAGTGTAAAGAGAATAAAAATCACTCCTGAACCATTTAAAAATTCGATATTTTTTTTAAAATTTATTTTTGTTCTTGTTCTGCGCCCTCAACAGGCATGCGCCCAATTACAGAGTGACCCGCATAATACTATTTAGAGGTGCCTCTGCAGAAGTTGGTCTATACTACTCCTGTATTTACCTTACGAATTAGGAAAACTGCAGGAAAACCTAACTCGGAGTAGCCGGTAGAATGCTCGGAACTGGTCTAAGGTGATTTCCATCTCCGCCACAGATGAAAAATTCACCTCAACCCAGGCTCGAACACCCGACCTCCGGATAGCCCAACGCTCTACCACTGAGCCATTATTGCAGCAAAAAAATAAAAAACAGTTTCTGCAATATTGAATTTTATACCGTTAAATAGTATTTGTTACTCATGCAACCGCATTCAGTAGGGGCCAGCCTGTATATTTTAGGTAAGTGGTGTGGCAACCATGTTTGAACACTAAAATCAGATTTTAATAGGATACCAAGACTCTCTCTTTGTATATTTGAATTTATGATTCTTCTCTCTTTTTTTTATCGTTTTTTAATTTCATTAAATAAAGACTACACTACACTAGTACACTTATTATTATTATCATATAGAACAAATGGTTGGAATAGATTGCGTTATCAACTAAACGTATGTGTAATAATTGCTACCCAAAATGAAATGCTGGATTAATTTTTGCAAGATTTTAGAAAGAGTTTCAAAATAAGAGTAATGAGTGACTATTTATTCTTAATATCATATTGGTGCGGATGTATTATTTGGTATCAGCACCTAAAACAACGATGGGTCACCCTGTATCTTGAATTTCATTTTAATTTTTAAGCGTAGATGCGGTCATTAATTTGAGACTCAACACCATTTCGATCTTGGTATTCGAATTTGAAGTCAGTGTGATTTTGTTTAAGAATTACTGCTTGCTTAATTTTGCTTAAATAATCGCTTCTATTTTGTTTAACTAATTAATTGTAAAAATTACGTTTTGCAACGCCAACTTGGCTAATAGCCGAAGCAGAACAAAACACACAAATAAATTTATTTGCGCTACCAACAACAAACGTCCTCAGGACGATATATAAATCTATGTATAGAACACGTAATAATTAAAAACAAGTTAAAAAGTAATCGTAAACGATTTACATAAAGCGCATTTCCACTTGCATTCATTTCCCATTTGTAAGATGCAACTTCTGTTAAAATCGTAAAAATCCGGCCACAAATATGAAAGATAGCGTTGCACATGAGCAATCCATTTTTGACATGCTATTTCAATTTCAGTTTATAACAAGAATTTCATTTCAATGCTTTTCTAAATAAGAAAGTTGGAACTGCGCATGCGCAAACCTAAATTTTGAAACTAATGTTAGATTTTCCTTTGTTCCAAGCGCCTAAGTATCAAATTTCACTTAAATGGTTCCATAGATAAAAAAGTTGGCACTGCGCATGTGCAAAATAAAATTTTGAAACTGGCGCTAGATTTTCTTTTATTCCAAGTGCATATGTATCACATTTCATTTAAATTCTTCCATAAATAAAAAAGTTGGCACTGCGCATGCGCAAAACCAAATTTTGAAATTGGCGTTTGATTTTCCTTTATTCCATGTGCCTATGTATCAAATTTCATTCAAATACTTTTATAAGTAAAAAAGTTTGCAATTCGGTTTATAAATGGTCGAGATGCGAAAAGGGCACTGTGAATTTTGAATCGATTAGATTCAACTTTTGGCATTGCGTATTATATGGCTAATAGAACTTCATGCAATTCAGTTGATAACTAACGGAGATGTAAAAGCGATCGAACATTTCTAAACAAAGTTATCGTTCACACGGACAGATAGATGGACAGACAGACAAAGGAACAGACGAACAGACCAACAGGCAGACGACAGATAGCAATGCAAAATTATAAACGATCTCTAGGATCGTTAATAAACGGCAAAAGTGTAAAATTATGTAACATGTCAAAAACGGTTTTTTTGTTTTTTTTTACAATAACTTTTTTTGTAAGCGGCACAGAAAAAATTCCTTCCTTGGTACAAGACTCGACAACATAACGAACCAAATAGCGAAAAAAGTAGAACAATAGCTCTTAAGATAAAGAACTAGTAGCGTCGCAAAACGAGCGGACGGACGGACGGACGGACAAAGTGGCCACAATAGGGCATTTTTTTTTTGTGGAAATGCGCTAAAAAGACAAACAGTGAACCGCTATATTAAGCGCAGGGCTACAACACTAATTACCTATACCAAAATGTGTACCAACAATACAACAAAACTCTGACTAGGTGGCCGAATTCCCCCCCCCCTTCAACAAGCACACACAAAAAAGGACACAAAATTACCCCCACTTAACCACTTGACTCGGCCAATAGATCCCCAAATAGCAGAGGGTTAAACCAGCTATATAGCGCATTCAACCTTCGTACGCAATACGGTCACCGATACACACACAAAATATACAGGGTGTTAATTTGAAAACTTCTCACTAGGGATTTATCGAAAACCACTGATTAAAGGAAAAAACGAGACACGTCAAAAGATTTGTCAAGGGGGACAACTTTTTAACCAAAAACTTCACTCCCTTTCACCTTCTGCCCCCAGGGTTATTCCTTTAGTCCTTTGTTTTGACGTTTAATTTTTTTAAATCGGTCGTTCGTTTTTGTTTTCTATCTGAACAAATTAAGATAGACCGATTAAATAAATTAAATAACGATTTTTCTAATTTTAAACGATCGACCGATTTAAAAAATCAAACGTCAAAATAAAGGACTTCGAAAGACCTTCAAACAATCTATTACTCGATACCACTTGTCACATAATATTCTTAAGGGAATGACCCTGGGGGGGCAGAGGGTGAAAGGGGGTGAAGTAGTTTTTGGTTAAAGAGTTGTCACCCTTGACTAATCTTTTGACGTGTCTTGGCGTTTTTTCCTTTAATCACTGGTATTCGATAAATCCGTGGTGGGAAGTTTTTAAATGAACACCCTGTATATTTTGTGTCCAAAACTCCAAAACTTGAAATACAACACTTGAAATCCTAAATCCAATTACCTTCAAGTCGCCTTCAAACACAAAACCTGACCTACATCTAATAAGACGGCGATTTAGAAAAAGACAGCGGTTCTCGAACAAAAA